ACAAATATTCCTCCAATTCTTTCTGTCTTTCTTATTATTACAAGCAGTACTTTAACAATCGCCATTATACAGTTATCCCACACTTTCATATCTCAACTGGCAAGCGGCAAATGAAGTTGCTGCTGCTGCAAATTACAGCTAAAGGGAGACAACTCTAACGCCTGACTGCACTCATCTCACAGGACACATTCTGTATTTATATTGTTAATAGGAACTTAATATCCATTCTAATTTACACATAATCCATATTAAAATTGATAACTAATCACTAGTTTTATGACTCAGAATTTGCTTACAATCATGAAACTACAATCAAAGTAATATCCTAGCACAGCAAATTTGATTTCTGATGTAAGAAATCAATAACATATCTAGCACAGAATTTGTTTAACACTATCAACAAAACCACATTTCCTTGTAACACCCAAAAAGCAGACAAAAATCCCAGGAAAGTCATCCTTCCACATGTTGATACACTGCTTGCGGCTCAAATGTCAACACGAATTCTGTAGCTACAATAATTTTGTCGTTAATGCAATTACCAGCAGTTACTGACAGGCTGTGGTCATGACTTGCAAAAATCAATTGACGTGTCTGAGCCAGGAGTAACTAAATGGTGCCTATCTACTCTCACAGAAATATTAGACGGATCGGTCACTGCACCGCTTTATCGACTTTTCGACCTGAAATGACTTACGTATGGCTTCTGTCTATAAAAGAAGGAACTTGTAGGGAGACCTTATTCAATCTAGGACAAGTAATTTAATTTGGTTTGGTTTGACTGCTGGTTGTATCACAGTAGGGCTGACAAGGAAGGGCTTACACAAGCTGAATCCATGGACACGGAATCAGCAGTGAGCCCACATGAAAACCACATGATTGACATCCTAATAGGTTATTCGTTTTGTTATCTATTTGTTTTTCAGACAAGATTAATGCTTCAGTCTGGGCTTCTCAAAACCATATTTGGATTTTTATTGGCAACCTCATCTTCAAATCAATGACTACATCAGTGAATTGGGGTTACCCCTTTGAACACTGTTGAAAAGAATGATATTTTAGATTGCTGTGTGTCAGCTTACTGTGGGATGAAAGCTCAAAATGATGCATGACTTGGATGTTTATCGCATTTTCTTGAAACTGTTGGGTAGGAACAGAAAAACCAAGAATGGTAATCAGAGCAAATGTGCAATTGAAACCCATGACCAGGGGATTCTAGCAGGCCCAAGGGACTTACTCTGCACAGTGACTAGACGGCTGGTTCATCTGTGCTCCCCTTTAATAACAAGTCGGGGGAATCATGTTTTGCAGTGCAGTCAGCAATAATCCGGCTAGCTCCCACACATAAGGTACTGATATCTACCCGGAATCCCAACAGGGAGACAAGCATTGGTTGCTGGGGACCTATTCTACCCTGGAATCCAACAGGGAGACAAGCATTTGGGTGCTGGGGACCTATTCTACCCTGGAATCCAACAGGGAGACAAGCATTGGTTGCTGGGGACCTATTCTACCCTGGAATCCAACAGGGAGACAAGCATTGGTTGCTTGGGACCTGTTCTACCCTGGAATCCAACAGGGAGACAAGCATTTGGTTGCTGGGGACCTATTCTACCCTGGAATCCAACAGGGAGACAAGCATTTGGTTGCTGGGGACCTATTCTATCCTGGAATCCAACAGGGAGATAAGCATTTGGTTGCTGGGGACCTATTCTACCCTGGAATCCAACAGGGAGACAAGCATTTGGGTGCTGGGGACCTATTCTACCCTGGAATCCAACAGGGAGACAAGCATTGGTTGCTGGGGACCTATTCTACCCTGGAATCCAACAGGGAGACAAGCATTTGGTTGCCGGGGACCTATTCTACCCTGGAATCCAACAGGGAGACAAGCATTGGTTGCTGGAGACCTATTCTACCCTGGAATCCAACAGGGAGACAAGCATTGGGTGCTGGGGACCTATTCTAACCTGGAATCCAACAGGGAGACAAGCATTTGGTTGCTGGAGACCTTTTCTACCCTGGAATCCAACAGGGAGACAAGCATTGGTTGCTGGGGACCTATTCTACCCTGGAATCCAACAGGGAGACAAGCATTGGGTGCTGGGGACCTATTCTACCCTGGAATCCAACAGGGAGACAAGCATTGGTTGCTGGGGACCTATTCTACCTTTAAATGACATCTCTGAAAAATCAGTGAAGTAGGTTATCTGCCTTGAACTTTAGATAAAATTAATCCGTTGCCTGAACATCTCTCACTGTGTTAACAGTTAAGTAATTTCAAAGTAAATATTATGGTTGGTGCCCTGTTCAACATCCAGAATATATCAGCCTATTGCATCCCATTAATGAAGGTTATCAACTTCAACAGGAAACGTTTCTCTCAACACGTACAGAATGATGAGTCAATGCATCTCACACCACACAATGACCTGGCGAAGGAAATAAACACGAACAATCAGTTTCTACAAGCAGTATGAATCAAAAGTAGTATATTTGGGGGAAATCTAGCCTTAATTTAAAAAAAAGTGAAATAAATATAATTGATAAAGTTGCATTTGAGTGAAACTCTGCTTTTTTCAACATCTTTTTCAATACTAACAACATATGTTTGTATTTAGTATGATCCCTGTTTATGCATCGATCAAGAATATTTGTACAATGGCACGACCATGTACAACAATGCAATGAGTATACATGGCACTATCATGTACAATGTACAATGTATATATGTATAAAACAACACAGTTTCCATAATAATTTTTTATGTCACTCCTACCTGAAAGTGAAAAAGCCATTTATAATATTTCGGAAAAACTTCAATGTTCAGTGCATAAAAGTCAATGGATGTAAGATTTTGAGAGCCGCTTGTGGTTACCATAAATCTGGTATATTTTCTTATGCATGCCAGACGGTAGTAGAATATGGCGTTTAGGCTGCCAGAAAATTCATAATTCTAAACTTGCACTTAGGAGTTTAAGTTAGTTTAATCAAGCTACTGCTCATTAGTTCTTCAGAGGATGCAATCATGATTGTATGATTAAACCAATGGACCCAGACTAGACATGGTAGATATATTTCTGCAAAGAAGATTAATATCTCTGGTATATGGCCAAAGGGCCTTTGTTCCATATCAGTCAGACCTGCACTCTTCAGTCATATGATCTACTCTATGCCAGCAGCAATGCAATTTCACGTAACAAATCTCATACTCCTCCAGATCGATAGTGACCAGCCTACAGATACCCTGGGCTGAGAAGAAAAGGACAATCGCAGCAAAATGTTTTCAAGTGTCAGTCTGTAGGTTTCATGTATCTAAGTAATATCACGTAAAGGTCACACCGACGCATGCTCATCTATGTACTTGATCTCCATGCTTATACCAGACAATGATATCTTGAATATCCTCCCTATGGGGATTGAGGGGCTGAATAGGTCGCAAGCACCAAATGTTTCTTGTAAGAGCTGATCAAAGAGACAACTGGGTGGTCAAAATGGGTGACATGGCTTATTGAGTGGGTGAGTGAGTGAGTATGGTTTTACACCGCTTCTAGCAATATTCCAGCAATATCACGGCGGGGGGCACCAGAAATGGGCTTCACACATTGCACCCATGTCGGGATTTGAACCCGGGTCTTCGGCGTGACGAGCGAACGCTTTAAACACTAGGCTACCCGACTGCCCCCATGGCTTATTGCAAACTGTAGTGCCCCAATGGTGTGGATTGTTGCTCATGCGATCTATCTCTGGTTGGCCAGGCCCCGATGGGACGATGAACAGGCAAAGGTGGTATAGCTACAATCAGCAGCATCAACTCACTTGAATATAACATTTTCTGTTTAGTAATCCAATTAAAATTCTATTAATCCACTCCAGTAGTCACTGTCATGAGATCGGATCTAAACATTTCGTACTCCATCTCTATGTCATGTTATGAGGGGCGGTGGGGTAGCCTAGTGGTTAAAGCGTTCACTCATCACGCTTAAGACCCTGGGTCGATTCACCACATAGACCCAATGTGCGAAGTTCATTTCTGGTGTCCCCTGCTGCAATATTGCTGAAAGCAGCGTAAAACCATACTCACTCACACATGTATATGAAATATGCTCAATGTAAGTTTATGTTACGCTGCACACAGTGCAATAATCTGATTGGCACCATGAGATGTACAGAGAATACTACACAATTTAGTGCATCATTAGATACTTTTTATTAAATGAGTCTGAAGCAGAGGAGTTTTGAAGTTTTTGTATCCAGAATTTCTTTTCATGTCATTATGTTCATTCAAAGACTTTGGGAAACAGTGCCACAATCTATGCTTTGAAGATGAAACTGGCCTGGATATTGTGCAAATAGTATTAAACGCCATATATCTTCACTTTGCAACACCGAATGTTTTCATTAAATCAAGTGGTTGCATCAGCATATACCATGGTGAAGACACCACTATCTGTATCATAAGCAAAAGGATATTACTTCATTCAATAAGGTCTGTACTGATCTAATTATAAAAAATAACGATGTTTTGCATTGCGAAAGTGTGTGACAAGCTTGTTCAATTTAATAAAGTGTAAATCTTGAAAAGTCTTGTAATTATTATATGACTGGGAAGACGATACATCATAACCTTTCATGGGTCACCTCAGTGAGGTCATGGTTCTCCAATCAAAACACAGAAAATGAGGCACCGATACATGTGTGATGTACAGTATTAGTATCACACCTTCCATCCCCCTGTGGGTAATACATCTGGACCCACTCACAATGCGATCTTAGCACTACGAGTATCAGAAGTCTATGTAAGAGTATCAGTGTTACGACCAACATAGCACTAAGATCGCTTTGTACAAGTGGACACTGAATGGTACTAAATCCAACTTGTCCACAGCTCATTACCAGACCAGTTGTTAACTGGAAGAAACAACTAGTCCTTCTGTATTCTCACTAGTGTGGGGCCAACAGCAGGTGTGTCGAACCCTGGTAATGCGTATACTACTCACCTTAAGACTGCCACAGCACATGGACTCTGGTCGTGGAGGTAGCTTCTTCTTTCTCAGCACCACTCCACTCCAAGTATCCATTGACTCACACATTGTCACGATTAATGCAGTCAGGCTATATAAAGTTCCAGGTCTACACCGTACAAAAGTCAGTTTAGCCGATGAAATAGCTCAATCCTGGGTGTTGAGAAACGTATTTTGCATCAAAGATTGAAACTTCAAAAATTCAGGCAGAGTATCAATCAACAAATCTTCAATCTCTCATAAAATCACAACAGACCATAATGCTTGTTGATGCAAATGACCAATCTTGTATATTGCTATCTGTGTAGGTGATCTAATCAAGATGACAATAGGCGACTACAGTGCTTTTCAATGCAATAACTAGCATTGTCCACTTCTGTCCACACATACCACAGATGTCTGTATAGGTGAGCTAGTCCTCAGATGACCACAAGTGACCACGGTGGTACAGCCTCCTCTTGGTGCTGTGTATATCTGGTCAGCGCGATGTACAGGTTTACTGATATCCTTTTGTGTCTGTTTAAAACACACAAAGAGGATTGTGTATGTACAAAACCTCAGGAATGTACACCACAGAGTCCCTTGAGTCACTTTCAGTCCTAAATCTCACCATACATCATGCTTATACTCTCAAGCAGTGATGGCACAGTCGTACTTAGCCCAGTTTCAGCAACCAAAACTTAATCTCAGTTTGTAAATGTTCAAGTATTGATCGCTCTGAACAGGTATCAATAAGACCTTAAAAATGTTTTAGCAGTCTCCTCATGAGATTCACACAAAGCAGGAAACATAAACCCCTACAATTACTCAATGATTACGAAGTTCAATTGCTATAGAACATGCATTGCTTCAAGCAAGTCCTCCTTCAACACTACTGTGGGTGTAACTCACACAGAAGTGCAATATCCATCGAACATTTTAAAACATCAAGTCAAAAGCTTCTGCTTCTCCTGTCTGGAGGGACACAGTGAACTCTGGACACACAAATATATCATATATCACTGCGATAGCCATGAGTTTGACAGGAAGAGGGAAATACCACTTGATAATGTTAATGTGAACATGAAGTCATGAATACAGATTTCCGACTCCTACAATCAAGCTGTGTTTTCACTATCACCCTGAGATAACAGTCCTGTTACAAGATGACGAGGACTGGAATACAAGTCGGAGGCGATTTTGTAAAATCATAAAAAGTTTTCAAGCTCTACCTCTCGTCCTTCATGCATGTACAACGTAATCCTTTGTAACAATATGCCAGCCTAATTCAAATCTTCGCGCACGCTGTCGTAATCACCTCCCAAACATGACAATATTAGCCGAGTCACACGTGGAGGAATAACATTAAGTAAAGTTGTCTCTGTTGACTGTGCACTTTCTGAGGTGGCTGTAAGCTGCAGCCAGCTGTAGTGTGTCTAGGCTAAATCAAAAGTCTAATAGGCACATGAAGCTTGTTATCCGACCTATCTTAGGGCTGCAGACCAGTTGTGGTAGATTATGTAACAAGATGCTACAGTTGGGAGGAGGGGAGCTTGTGTGTCGTACGTCAGCACAAACACAGATAAATATTGACTGTACTACACACTTCCTCTCAGACCTTCCTTCCTTATGCTAAATGGTTCAGTGTCAACTCTTATAACAATTCTTACAGCACTGATCCTTGATCCTTTAAGTGCAGCAATCACAGGTGTAAAGTTACTCCATTAACAACTCATCTGTGATTGTCCTGTGATAATTAGCAGTGTATGTTAACTGCAGCAATCACTATTTTTGTTGAGAACAGACACCATACACAGATTATCCTGTGATAATGATCACCATAGAAAATTCACAGCAATCACAAATTTGTCAGTTGATAACTAGTTCCTCAAGAATCTCCTCCACAGTGGACGAACAATGAACTGTTGTCCAACCAAGCTCTTTTTATAGGTGTCCTAATTCAATGATTAATAATTCCCACACTTGGGATTTTTTTTGTCCGGTCATAAAATGCCTCCTAGAGATTATATTGGACAGTGGAAATATTTTTAGGCTGTTCCTTTGAATATCACCGCTTGAAAATAGTTGCCACTTGCCGATTGTATCCAGGAGGAATTATGAGTCCGGATTTAACACTCGTAGGTTTATGATGACCAGGAAGCTGATAGGATGGGAGGGAAATGGCAGTGTTGGAAAAAATGTTGCTGCTTGATATTTTGTTTGCATTGAAGATTATTCAGGATTCACAGTCTCATATGAGCAAACAGACACTGTCAAAAGAGCATAAATATAAATCGATGGATATTTAGCAGACAATAGTTTGATCCCTTTGTATACAAACTCATACAAACATGAGAGTTTTGTTCATTAAAAATCCATTGGCATCAAAAGCAGATTATCTGACACATGAGCTGAACAACATTAACAGAAATGATCTGTGTATGGAATATGTTTCAAAAAGCTCACTTTGAATGTTTTCATACACTTTCCAGATGTGATGACGAAAAAGGTTGAAATAATCACCATTCCTTGCCAATTTTGAGAAACGTTTCACTGTCTCTCACATTCATCCTAATGCCTACTATTCAATGAGGGACATCAGCCAAACTGCCAGAGAAGTCCTAACACAAATATCGAAGTCAAACCTAATCAATGAGCCATCAATATTCACATGGCGGAAACCACAGAATAGATATTTCCTTGTAAATGCAGTTAATACATCTCCTCTAGGACTGGCCTAAGTCTACACTGTTTATGAACACAGATGGGCTGTCTTGCTACAATTGGCTGGAATGTCTAGAACTGTCTGATTCTTTTAATAGATATTTCCAATTTGATTCGTGATTTACATTTCTGGTTGTCTCCTTAGAAAGTGAATTGTGGTTAATTCACTGTGAAATTGTCTAAAACATCACTGTGCCATCACAATGCAACACTGTACATAAAAATTCGATAAAATTAAAGCAGGATGTTTTGCATAACAGACTGCATATGCCAGCGATTAGACAAGCTACTATGGGATGCAGGTCTCCACTTTGTGTTGATCATTGAATCAATATACTGACTGACATACGGAACTGTTTCCTCACCATCAGCCATTCAGCCCTAATGAATGAAAACCACATTCAGCCAACTGAATGAAAATCACCTCCAGTGTACCTCCTTAACAAAAGCAATCACACATAAGCAGCAGTTCCGATATTTCCCTTTCAATCCTCCCCTGTGGTGTTTTCACCACTGTTCACAAGGCTGTCCGATAATTATTATCGTGATGAGCAGACGGGTGTTTCGAGTGACCAGTACATGGCGAAGGGGCGGAGTGTTGATACTCACAATGTCCTCTGTTTGTGGACAGACAACAACACAGACATGACATTTCAAACTGATCCGGCCAGTATCCTAACAAGTGGACTGCACATGTTAGGCGAGGTTGGTGTATGTCAGCTGAATTGTCTGATGAGAGGCTGTAGATACACACCACACTCTGACCAATTAGCCTGCACTCATTTGGACCTCCTGGTCAAATCTGTCTTCAATTCCAACCCTGGTTTGCCTGCAGTCATAGAAAATTCCACCCTATGTGTCTACTGCCTCCAGATATACTCGTTAGACAGCGACACATTTACCATTCCTCGAAATTCCAGCGCTGGGACTGTCCTCTTCCTCCTGCGAAGTGCAAACTATGAATAATGAATCAATGGTCTTGTTTCCTGCACATCATGACTGCAGATGGAAGTGTCGTCTGCTTCACGTCTGCTGGCGTGATCTTTGGCATCTATGTTACATGTAAAAAAATTGTTCACCTATCCTATACCAGAACTGCTGGATCAATATGAGTTTTTCACCCAATTTCACAACCAGGCACTTTAAAACATGTCGCCAGTGCGTTGTCATCTGCTCACACAACAATTATCCACACAGTATGAGAACACCTGCCTCAATCCTATTCCTTACAGCTTGAAGTCCAAGATCCTTTGCATTGACTCCCAACACTTCCCTATACATAACCAGTCATCTGATGATGAAATGAGAGATTTTCGATGAGTCACTCAAACCGTGAATAAATTCACATATTCACTCTCAAAGACAAATTGATCGGATTCAACAAGTAAGCCGCTACTGGCGTCAAATTGAGCATTGATGAGACTGATGGCCACCTATAACCGTGATAAGAGAGGTCCTAATTTTCCCGTTTGATACCCAGGCATGTGGAGCAAAGGCACATGGAATCAGAGGACTGGTGCTATTGATTCAAGTTCATGGCCACCATGAATAATGAATTCAGCATTTAGCAGCAGCGGTCAGATTGTATGGACGGTGTCATGCATTATGGACTTGGTGCTTAATGTGCTCGTTGCTCAAGGCATTACAGGAAAACATCAATTATATCACTTTACCACAGAGTTTTCGGTTAGCTCTTAAATAAATTCCAAACAAATATTTGGTTTCCAGATAGATACAGCCCGAAGTTCACACTCACTGGCACTGAGGCTTAGTTGCTATGATACTGTTCAATTGTTTAATGTAAACAATCTGTATTACAAAACCTATAACTTCATAATGAAACAATACCATATGAATCTAGTTCTAACAGGAGGGATCCAGAGCTAATGAATTCCCCACACAAATGCTCTTTGTAGCAATAAGTTTGATGTCATTACATCGTGCACGTTTCAGGTCAACAAGAAAATGTGTTAGGATCTTCATATTTTTAGAAAAAGAGTGAGTGAGTGAGTATGGTTTTACGCCGCTTTTAGCAATATCCCAGCAATATCGCAGCGGGGAACACCAGAAATGGGCTTCACACATTGTACCCATGTCGGGTATCGAACCCAGGTCTTCGGTGTGATGACCTAACGCCTTAACCACTACGCTACCCGACCGCCCCCTTTGGAAAAAGATAACTAGCTTCAGACTCACGATGATGTGGATGAGTGGATGTTTGTTTAATCTGTCAGCAATAATCCAACATTCAATGTTGGCCTTTAAATAAGAGTGTTGCAAACCAGTGGTTGACAGCATGAACAATAACCCATGTCATCAGGGTCATGGCTCACAATAAGCAAGGTCACACATTGTAACCTGCCTATGGGCTATCCTCATTAGTCGGTTCTGACAACATCCATCTGATACTGGGGATCTATTCTTTCCAGAAATCCCCCAGTGGCAGATTGATTTGAATAATACATGACTTATGATAATGATTGGTCAGGCATCTTTAATACAAGGCCTGGGGACCCATAGTCATCAGAACATCAGGCCTTTTCAGCAGCCAAAGACCCAGACAATTTGAAGAACTGATGACCTTATATTGCTCGAGCATACTAGGACAAAGTCTAGTGTGATAGACTTGCAAACTGTACATGAACAATGTTCTCCCAAGACATGTGATCTGGCTTTTGTGGGATGTTATCAAAGAGGCCACTCCTCCAGCGGCCAGCAAACCTGGTCCGCCAGATAACCAGAAAAACATGCACACCCCTCCTGAGGGCAGCACCATCACTGATATAATCATTTCTAAACAGTCACTTGGCTGAAACACTTATTTTCACAGCCTTATGTGTATTTGCTTATGCAAGTACTAAAATACTAGCAAAAACAGTACTGTTTACCTTCCAAACATTTCAGTATATATTATTTTGAAGATTAGCATGACCTTTGTCAATCTCTGAAACTGCTATCTGAAGGCCTTGTTATTTCAACACAGATTTATAATAATTCATATGTATTTATTTAGAAACATTAAAACAGATTTATTGCATTCTAAAAGTAAGAATAAACACCTCTGCATTGATCACAGTTACAAACAGTTGTTTTCTGCAATACTGCAATGTGTTCCCTAATTTGTTCCCTCCAGCATATTTCTATAAGGCCTACATGACGTTTTCAGGAAATCGTTACCTTTCCTAGCAAAACATCCTGTTTGTTTGTTGTTTAACCCCACATCAGCAATATTCCAGCTATATGATGACGGTCTGTAAATAATCAAATCTAGGCCAGACAATCCAGTGATTGATATCATGAGCATCGATCCATGCATTTGGGATATGATGACATGCATCAACCAAGTCAGCGAGCCTGACCACCCGATACCGTTCGTCGCCTCTTATGACAAGCATTGTCGCCTTTTTCGGCAAACATGGGTTGCTGAATACCTATTCTACCTGGATATTAATAGGTACCTGGCCATCAAGCATCCCAGCCAACAGCTTACAGGTTATGAGTTACAGGTTACATGGATCAGGGTGTTAGGGATTTCACAGGTGACTGGGCTTTCAGCTTATAAAATCCTGTACACCCTGCTTAGGTGTAATCATCATCCTGAGGCAAGGGAGTTAATGGACTATAAAAGTTCAGTTTCCACCCTTGCCGAACTAGGCTGGAAGTATGGAGTTATATTTTAGCTGGACTGACGAATCTATGCATAGTCCAACCAAAAATCACTTAACGAAATCGACATTCGGTTCGTAAACTGCTGTGCAGATTTTGGTCCATTGCAGGCTTTGCTTAACATGTGTTCTGACAACTTAGCGTAAATTTTTTCCAAATCTTGTCGTGTTTTTAATCCAGGTGCTCACATTTTTATGAACTCCGCGCGGTAAGACCCATTTTATGACAATATAGATCTTGATTATCGATCAGATCGTCTTCACTGGGAAACGCCATTTTATATGCAGCAAAAGCAACTAATATGAGAGGTGGAATCTGATTGGTCAATAGGAGGGACATAGAAGGGACATAACTTGTTTTAGCCACTGGTGGCGCTACGATCAAGCCCAGCAATTCCAGCCAAGTTTTAAACTTTTAAAGTCAGTTAACTCCCTTGCCTCGAGAAGATCATAAGTTAATCTGAGTTCATAACTTGTTAAATTTGTTACATATACAACCAATCAGCTAGATACTTGTTACATTTTTTTTTCTAGACAAACACAAATAGTTGGCGTTAAGACACGAACAGACTCCTTCTTTGTGTAATGATAAAAGTAAGGTTAAATAAATAGAGCTTACGGAGAAAGATGGAAAATTCATAGTATACATGTTCATGAATTGCTTGGTTCAAACACAGATGACCCCATGGTGCCTCATTAATTCACTGAATGTCTCAAAATGAATGTTTGTCTTGTCTTGTCCTCACATACTCCACCCTTGAAATCAGTCCACCATCAGACATTACTTCCATCAACACACCATAAGCACTATCATCTGATCAAGAAACACTTTTTCTTAAACTGAGCCCTTTTTACCCAAATCTCCCAAACATTGCAGCTCTGATTCATCTCCCCATCTCTTCATAACTGACATTCATTACTGTAAGAGACGCTAAGGTGGAGATAAGCAGCAGGAGGATCAGGGACATTTACATTGCCCACATCTCCCCATGATAAGGCCAGCTGCACCCTAGTTAGAGGGCAATGGCACACATCCCTTCTGTACCCAGTTCCAACAGTGTCCCCTGGCAGAAGCGATCCATTCAACTCTCTATATATTTCAGCAGCAGTTTCTTGAAGGAGTGAAGCGATTCATTGATAAATATCAGTGCATAGATAAGGGACCATACATTGCCATGACAAACTGTCAATTATTACTGGGTTTACAGATCCATGCATGGCGCCATGAACTCAAAACTTCAAAATTGTGGAATGTCTTCTTTTTTTGATGCCAGACAATTCTTCACAGCTTACACACAACATGTTTTTACAATCTTAATTATGTTCTTATCTTAACCACTGACACTATTCAGAACAAACTACGTGGTTAACCATGTGATTAACAAAGAGAAGCCCAAGCCTCTTATCAACAACGCCTGTGCTCCTCAGGCAAAACTCGGGAAGAAGAGACAGTTGGAGCTGTTTCACAAGATCTGTCCATTAAGTGCTCTTCAGGCAAAACTCAGGAAAGAGAGACAGTTGGATCTTTTTCACAAGATCTGTCCATTAATTGGTCAGCCCCGTTCTATATGTCACTAGACAAGCAGCTAGCCCCAGGGAGAGTGAGTGAGTCAGCGAATATTACTATAATGCTGCATCGTCATTTTTCTGGTATTTGTGGCCCCTACGGAAGTAAATCAAGGTTATGCTCAATGAAAACAATGACCTCTTATTATAAAGCACCAGGAAATATTTGCTGATACACTGAGTAATACACGGAAAGTCATTGAGGGGGCCAGGAGGGGGACCAGGGACAATCAAGGAAGCAGTCTTTGGAGTCTACTAGCCCAAACCAGGCTTCTGACATCATTTTCAGTAGAGTTTAGTGTTAATCAATGGACTTTTATTAACAAAGCTTTCTAGACCAAAAGAAATTTGACTAGACTCAGGCTACTGACCAGTGGCCGAAGAAACAGACAAGGCAATAGAAGAAACCCAGCAAGTGTCATTCTGTACTCAACCACAGGCACTGGAAAGACTTGTTTTTTTTGCGAAATAATTTTTTCAGTTTTTTAATATAACCGTATTCAACAGCATGAAAGTCTAGGGATCCATTACCCTAATGTTTAAAAGTAAAGACTGAAGGGGACCCTGGGTCCAAATAACACCGCAACAAACCCCACTGATATTTTATTTGGAGCCTGGAGCATTCTCAGCTTATTTTTCAACATGTGAATGAAAGAAATACTGGCAGCACAGAATCATTCTGTTCTCAGTAAGTCTAGAGTTGGATATCTTTGAAAACCTAGGTGAGGGGAAATGGGTTTAATGTCACATTTAGAATTATTTCATTATATGTTCACACAAACATAACTTGCTGGTCAATAAGAAACCTCTCTCCCTCTTTCCTTCTCTCTCTTCCTCTTTCCTTCTCTCTCTCTCCCCTTCTCTCTCTCTCCCCTTCTCTCTCTCCTCTCTCTCTTTCCTTCTCTCTCCCTCTCCTCTCTTTCCTTCTCTCTCTCCTCTTTCCTTCTCTCTCTCTCCT